TGTCTGTCTGTCTGTCTGTCTGTCTGTCTGTCTGTCTGTCTGTCTGTCTGTCTGTTTCTCTCTTTCTCTCTTTGTCTTTCTTTCTCTTTGTATCTTCCTCTCTTGTGTGCCATTTCTTAACTAGCAGTAGCCTATTTGTGTAAGCCATCAAAATATTTTTTAAAATGAAATAGCCACAAATATCAGCAAAGCTTCCAGTGTATTTGTTCACAAGGAAATACTTCTCACTCGTTTATTAAACATGTCAGATAACATCTTAGAGGTCGTTAGCACTTTTAGAAAAGAGGAGAAAAAAACCTGGCGTTTTCAGAACCATGATTCCTTCAAATCCTAACAAAAGAGTCACTGCTAAGAAATGGTGAAGGGGGTAGGAAAAGGAGCATAAAAATCCCCAAAACAAATCTGAATATTCCATAACAAATCAACGTCTTATAACGATGGCATACGATCAAATAAAGAAAACACTGAGCCTGGAATAATGGATGTGTGACTGAACGTCCTATTGGACAGAATTCAAAGGTAATACGAAATGAAACAGGTTCCACAACATCTATATTATTGTATTTGCTGTATCCTTTACTCCCTTAGAGGTAAATATATGGAAATGTAATGGATATATTATGTCCACAAAAAAAAGCAAAGAATCTCACCGGAAGAATAGAAATGGAAACTAGAGATACCGAGCGAAGAAAAAGACCATAAATATTCCTCGAAGGTAAGCCTCTGAATCGAGTAAAATCGATAGAAGTGGTGATAAGGGCATTAAACTCATATACTTACTTAGTACTAAAATCGACAGTGGTAGAGATCAAACAGAAGATCGTCAGCAAAAATTTCTTGAGATTTACAGTGCCTTCTTTATTGTGGGCTTCTACAAGTTCAATTCCAGAGTCTGGAAATTAAATTCGTTAAAAGTCTTTCTGCGGGGATGTTGTATATCTCTTCGCCCAGGTTGCCCGTGACAGGTCTGTTCGAAGTGTCCATGGAGGCTTAAAACAATTTCTATCTATCTATCTATCTATCTATCTATCTATCTATCTATCTATCTATCTATCTATCTATCTATCTATCTATCTAT